GGGGAAAGGAGAGGAAGCAGGGGGGAAACGGGGGGAAGGAGGGGAGAGGAAAGGAGGGGATTCAGCGGGGGAAAGCAGGGGAAGCACGGGGGGGAAAGGCGAGGCAGAGAAGTGGAGGAAAGGAGGGGAAGCAGTGGGGGAAAGGAGGGGAAGCAGTGGGGAAAGGAGGGGAAGAAGTGGGGGAAAGGAGGGGAAGCAAGGGGGGAAAGGAGGGGAGGCAGGAGGGAATTGAGGGGATGCGTGGGGGGAAAGGAGGGGAAGCAGGGGCGGAAATGAGGGGAAGCAGGGGCGGAAATGAGGGGAAGCAGGGGCGGAAATGAGGGGATGCGTGGGGGGAAAGGAGGGGAAGCAGGGGCGGAAATGAGGGGAAGCAGGGGCGGAAATGAGGGGATGCGTGGGGGGAAAGGAGGGGAAGCAGGGGCGGAAATGAGGGGAAGCAGGGGCGGAAATGAGGGGATGCGTGGGGGGAAAGGAGGGGAAGCAGGGGCGGAAATGAGGGGAAGCAGGGGCGGAAATGAGGGGAAGCAGGGGCGGAAATGAGGGGATGCGTGGGGGGAAAGGAGGGGAAGCAGGGGCGGAAATGAGGGGAAGCAGGGGCGGAAATGAGGGGATGCGTGGGGGGAAAGGAGGGGAAGCAGGGGCGGAAATGAGGGGAAGCAGGGGCGGAAATGAGGGGAAGCAGGGGCGGAAATGAGTCCAAACGTGTGGACGCATTTCGTGTATTGGAGAAATCCGTGAGGCGAGCAGCGCGTTACTGGTGGCTGCAGTAGGATGGCTGGCTCGCGCGCGCTTCTAGACTGAATTTCGCTGGAGAGCGCGTGCTTGCAACCGCGTGCTGTTTGCTGGGGCATCTAAGCGTCACATGCGCTCGCTGTGCTGGCGCGCCGCGCGGTATGCAGGTGCCGCTTTGCGGCGCGCGTTTTGCTGGCAAGCGCAGCTCTGCTGAGCGCGCTATGCTAGCGCGCGCGGAATGCCAGCATAGCGCGCACAAGTGCCGCGCGCGGATGCCAGCACAGCGCGCGCAAGTGTTGCGCGCGGAATGATAGCGTAACTGGCGCAAGTCCCGCTAACGGAATGCTATCATTGCTGGCGCCAGTGACGCGCGCGGAATGACACGACACACACGGAGTGCCACCATCGCTGGCGCTAGTGACGCTCGCAGGCGTCGCCTGTTCTGCACACGGCTAAATACTCACCCGCGTCTATGTATGTGGTCGCGCTGCTGGCCTAGCACCCTCCGGCCTGCTGCCTAGTACCTAAACTAGTAGCTACTAGATGCGTATTCCCCGTAGTGTGTGATGTGGCAAGTTCGGTGACGGGAGGTGTTTCCCATTTTGTGACCCACAACCTACCCAACCCTGCTCCTCTTACAACTGAAGCGCTCCAGTTTTTCGCCAACACTCTCGCTATTTTCTTACATTTTCGTTGAGGCGAAATCGCCTGGCACACTGTACAGAAACAACAGTGCTGCCAAATGTATACTGCTGCTTTAACTGCACGGGATGCGTCACGCGGCTTGCGATAAGATAATTAATTAAAGGATGAATATAACTTCTGGAAATCGCGATTCTAAAGATATTGCGGATGATTGATTGCAAGCTAACGAGCTGCTTGTTAAAAGAACTAGGCAAGAATGATTGAAAGGAGAGGGGTTTCACTAGCAGCAGTTGGGGTACATATAGCAAACCCTAACTGGGTTGTACTCGCTATAGAGCACCCCACTACAGGCTAGACAATAATAACATTCTGACACACCCCCATAGCCAAAGTGGGGTGTAATCAGTACAATGAGCAGGCATAGCAATAGTTCACAATTATAAGCAAAGCTAGAGGTGATCATAGAGGGCAAGTGAGGAGGAGGAGAAACTGTGAGGGCGAGAAGATGAAAGGCGCCGACTGAAGCTGCAGACACACGGGCAACAGGAGCGGCGCGCACAGTGGCTACCGAGCGCACGAGGGCACCGGACTACGGGAGTATCTGGCTCCGCGGCTACGACGAGCACACACAGGAGCAACTGACCCACAGGCGACTGGCGAAGCAGGCTCGCTGGGCTACCGAAACGCGCGAGGGCATCCGGACTACTGGCGCTGCTGGCGTCACGACGGCTACCTCCACGCAACCTCCCCCGACCGTCCCACGCCCCTCTCACACACCCCCTGCTGACACCCTAGCTCCACTTCCACGGCACCCCCCTTAAACCCTAAACCCTCGGCTCCCACACACCCACCCCCCTCAGCGGCAGCTGCAGCAGTGGGAGACGGAGGAGGAGGAGGAGCCGCAGGTTACCCACACCGGTCACCCCCATGCCCGCCACCCCCAAACCCTAACGCAGGCAGGAGCGCGGGAAACAGCAGGGGCGGGGCACGGAGGGAAAGGGAGGCAGCGGGGTGGCTCTTGGGCGCCACGAAGAAGCAGGGCGCGGGCCCCCCGAGGGCGCCACGGCGGGTGACGGGAGGGGGGCCGCGCACGGGCCCCCGAGGGCGGCTCGACGGGCGACGGGAGGGGCCGCGCGCGGGCCCCCTAGGCGCCGCGACGAGGCGACGGGAGGGGGCGGCGCGCGGGCCCCCAAGGTGCCGCGACGAGGCGACGGGAGGGGGGGGACGCGCGGGCCCCCAGGGCGCCGCGACGAGGCGACGGGAGGAGGACGACGGGGGGCAGCGCGCAGGTCCCCGGGGGCGCCACGACGGGTAGGAAACCGCCGCGCGCCTCGGGGCGCACGGCGGGCAGAAAACCGCCGTACGCCCTGAGCGCACGGCGGGATGAAAAACCCTAAAATTTTTCGCCGCGCGCTCCGCGCGCGGCAGGAAGAAGACGGCGCGCGCCCGAGGCGTGCGAGAAGCAGAATAGCAGCGGAAGCAGTTAGGTGGCGGGCCCACCCACAGGATCGACCCAAGGGGGTCGACCTGCTCTGATAGCATGTTAAAAGAACTAGGCAAGAATGATTGAAAGGAGAGGGGTTTCACTAGCAGCAGTTGGGGTACATATAGCAAACCCTAACTGGGTTGTACTCGCTATAGAGCACCCCACTACAGGCTAGACAATAATAACATTCTGACACTGCTGACACCAGGATCAGAAAAGACGGTGGACCAAAACCTGCGTTGCGCAACAGCATGGCTGAAGGTCCAAATACAGCTACTAGAAATTGTTTGCCTGTTCTTGCCAGCCACTAAAGCCCTGTTTTTCTGCTTGTGAATGGTCTGACCCAGCAAGACCCCGAGTCCGATACAAGCCACTCGACGGGGCCTACTTGGTCACCAACCACAGGACCGCCGCACCAAGAAACAAGATGAGATTGACAGGTCAAGGGCAGAACCGTAGAAAACCACTTAAATCACCTTCTTTACCGTATGGAAGAGCTGTTTCGCATCCGAACCAAACTGATTTGGTGGGAAGGAAAACGAGCCCAAAACGCCACGGCCAGGTCAATATCGCTTCATTCGGTTTGGGGCTCGTCGCAAACGGTCAAAGCGTCTTTCAACGCTTCGCACCATATTGAACCGTTTCAAAATTTTCTCTATTCCACTACGGTCTTCTATTGCCTCCTGACGGCGCATGACAACAATGAGCAAGCAGCCATGGCCATGGCGGAGAGCTACGACACAGTCAATGCGCATCAATTTCCGGCCTGATCATGACAATGAGACACTCTTTCGACGCGCGGCTTTAAGTTCTACGCATTGGTGTCTTTTAAAGCCCAAGACCTGAATTACAAAAAAAGGAAGGCAAACTGTGCACAGTTTGCCTTCCGAGCCCACAGTTGACTTCCCGAGCCTCTCTGGTTACCAAATGACGCCCCGCAAAGAACCAGAGAGTCGTAGAGCAGCACAAAATTGGTTGGCGAGAGTCCCAACCGCTCCCTCCTGAAGGGAGTAGGGGAAGGCAAGCTGTGCGCAGTTTGGAAATTGTGGTAATTCAGGTCATGCTCGACCACATAGTATCCACGTGAAACTCCTAGGTAGAACAGAAAGCCAATAGAGCCCGAGCCCAATAGTTTGGTAGGAAAAAAAACACCAAACAGATTCTATGCGATGGCGCCACTTTTCACTCAGCGTCGTCGTCGAAACCCTGCGCGACCGCGAAAACGTCAGTTTGCGGCGCATGCATCTCCTCTCCGAGGTCGATATTAGGTAATCGTACGGTCGATCGCTGCCATTTCCCGCGCATTCGCCCTATGTTTGCCTCAGCTATGTTCCCCCACCGTCCTTCCTTGTCGGCGTCACACCCTGCCACACACGCTTCCCCTCGTCGACGTCGCCGTCCCCCACGCTTCCCCCCACCGTCGCCCGCGCTTCTTCCCGCTGTCGATCACACTTCACTCCGTCGTTGACCACGCTCTTCCTCCCGTCACCCACGCTTCCCCCCACTGTCGCTTACGCTCCCACCCACCGTCGCTTTCACACTTTCCCCCACCGTCGCCCTCGCTTTCCGCCACCGTCGCTCACGCTTTCCCTTACCGCTGCTCACGCTCCCTCCTGCCTTCCCCCACGCTTCCCCACACCGTCGCTCGCGCCCTCCCCCACCTTCCCTCACGCTTCCCCGCACATCACCCACGCTTTCCCCCACCGTCGCGCTCGCTTCCTCCCACCGTCGCCCACGCTTTCCCCCACCGTCGCGCTCGCTTCCTCCCACCGTCGCCCACGCTTTCCCCCACCGTCGCCCACGCTTCATCTCACCGTCGCCCACGCTTCCTCTCACCGTCGCCCACGCTTTCCCCCACCGTCGCCCACGCTTCCTCTCACCGTCGCCCACGCTTCCCCTCACTGTCGCCCATGGCAGGTGGTGGTGCGGCTTTGGAGCAGAGTGTTGGGCGCACAGCCAGGGCAGCGCGTGCAGGCGGGCAGCAAGGAGTGCAGTGCTGCAGGGGGCTGGTTAGGGGAGGCGGAGCGGGGGAGGGGTTAGGGAGAGAGGGTGCAGGGATCCTCCTATCCCCCTTACCTCCTGCCACACTCTTACCTCCTGCCCTCCTCCCTTACTCCGTTCCGTGGGGCCCCCACAGTCGTCCTCCTCTCCCTCTCTCTTCCTCCCTTCCTCCATCTATCCCACACTCTCTGCCTCACTACCCTCTTTCCCCTTTCTGTTGCCCGTTCTCCCTCCCTTCCTCCCGCCCTCCCTTCCTGCCATTCTCCCTCTCCTCATCCTCCCTCGATCCAGTCCCCCATTCCCTTTCCATCTCCCTCTCGCCCACTCCCTTCCTCACGCCAACCCTGCTCCTCCGTTCCACCCATCCTCTCATCCGCCCATCCTCTCATCCGCCCATCCTCTCATCCGCCCATCCTCACTCCGTCGCCCTCACTGCCTCCCACTCTCCCTACACTCCCTCCCACCGTCACCCACGCTCCCCCCACACCCTTGTACCCTTCTTTCCTTCTCTCTGATTCTCCCTTCTCCCCGTTCCTCCCTTATACCCTGCCACACTTTTACCTCCCTCACTTTCTCCCATCCGCCCTTCCTCCAAGCCTCCCTCCTCCCTACCACTCTCCCACCCACTCTTTCTTTCATCCTCCTGCCTCTCCACCCTGCTGCCCTTTTTTTCAAGCTGCCATCTTCCGATATTCCTATCCTCCGCCTTTCTGTCTGACCCACTTGCCTACTCCCTCGAATTTCTCACATCCTCCCATCCACCCTTTCCCTTCCAAGCCTGTACACTTCTAGCCTGTAAGTATATTCAAGGGGATTGCCCTTTGATTGTTATTGTTTTGTACGGTCTCCTTCCCAGCTGCTCCAACATATGACACACAAAATTTTGTGGTTCGTGTTTGTGCAGGTCTGCCATGCACCCAGATGTGAGGTGTTCGTTGTTTGATGATAGTGGTATGACAAATAGGTTGCCATGCCATGTATTGACGCTTATGCTTTTATTAATAAAACCTTCTCTGCTTCAGAGCAGCCATGCACATGGCCACTACAAAGAAGTGGAACAAAGCATAATATTGTTTATGTAAAAGTTGTCATCAATAGACTACAGGAACACATTCATCACATTCCTGTTGGGACTCATGGTGCTGGGCACCTGTAACCTGTTCAAGCATGGTTCCGTGATAGAACGGGAAGGGAAGAGGGGGTATGGCAGATAAGCGAGGGTTGGATGTGGACGGGGCAGAGGGGTGAGCAAAAGGGGAAAGAGAGTGAGCAGGGGGGAGAAGGGGGTGAGCAGGGGGGAAAGCCAGTAAGCAGGGGAAACCGAGGGGTCTGAACAGGGGAAATAAGAGTAGTGTGGGGAAAAAAGGTTAAACGAAGGGGAATCGAGAGTAAACAGGGAGGAAAGGCGGGTGAGTCCAGGGGGAGAGAGTGAGCAGAGGGGGAAAGAGTGAGCAGGGGGGGAAAGAGTGAGCAGGGGGGGAGAGAGTGAGCAGGGGGGGAGAGAGTGAGCAGGGGGGGAGAGAGTGAGCGGGGGGGGAGGGAGTGAGCAGGGGGGGAGAGAGTAAGCAGGGGGGGAGAGAGTAAGCAGGGGGGGAGAGAGTGAGCGGGGGGGGAAGAGAGTGAGAGAGTGAGAGAGTGAGCAGCGGAAAGAGATTGAGGGGGGGAGGGATTGAGCAGGGGGGTAGATCGTGAGTAGGGGAAAGAGATTGAGGGGGGGAGGGATTGAGCAGGGGGGTAGATCGTGAGTAGGGGAAAGAGATCGAGGGGGGGAGGGATTGAGCAGGGGGGTAGATCGTGAGTAGGGGAAAGAGATCGAGGGGGGGAGGGATTGAGCAGGGGGGTAGATCGTGAGTAGGGGAAAGAGATCGAGGGGGGAAGGGATTGAGCAGGGGGGTAGATCGTGAGTAGGGGAAAGAGATCGAGGGGGGGAGGGATTGAGCAGGGGGGTAGATCGTGAGTAGGGGAAAGAGATCGAGGGGGGAAGGGATTGAGCAGGGGGGTAGATCGTGAGTAGGGGAAAGAGATCGAGGGGGGGAGGGATTGAGCAGGGGGGTAGATCGTGAGTAGGGGAAAGAGATCGAGGGGGGAAGGGATTGAGCAGGGGGGTAGATCGTGAGTAGGGGAAAGAGATCGAGGGGGGGAGGGATTGAGCAGGGGGGTAGATCGTGAGTAGGGGAAAGAGATCGAGGGGGGAAGGGATTGAGCAGGGGGGTAGATCGTGAGTAGGGGAAAGAGATCGAGGGGGAAGGGATTGAGCAGGGGGGTAGATCGTGAGTAGGGGAAAGAGATCGAGGGGGGAAGGGATTGAGCAGGGGGGTAGATCGTGAGTAGGGGAAAGAGATCGAGGGGGGGAGGGATTGAGCAGGGGGGTAGATCGTGAGTAGGGGAAAGAGATCGAGGGGGGAAGGGATTGAGCAGGGGGGTAGATCGTGAGTAGGGGAAAGAGATCGAGGGGGGAAGGGATTGAGCAGGGGGGTAGAGAGTGAGGCGAGGGGGAAAGAGAGGAGTGAGAACAGGGGGAAAGGGAGTGTACATGAGAGAAGAGAGTGAAGGCTGGGGAAGAGAGTGAGTGGAGGCAAAGCGTGAGCTGGAGAGAGTGAACGGCAATGGGAGGGGTAGTGAAGGCGACGGGCGGGAAGTGAGTGCGACTGGCGGGAAGCGAGTGCGACGGGCGGGAAGCGTGTGCGACTGGCGCGGTGTGCGACGAGCGGGGGAAGCGAGAGCGACGGGCGGGGGAAGCGAGAGCGACGGGCGGGGGAAGCGAGAGCGACGGGCGGGGGAAGCGAGAGCGACGGGCGGGGGAAGCGAGAGCGACGGGCGGGGGAAGCGAGTGCGACGGGCGGGGGAACGGAAGGCGCCGTTCGGGAGAAGCGAAGGCGACGGGCGGGAAAAGCGACGGGAGGGGGAATTGAGCGCGACGGGGTCGGGGGAAAGAGAAGGCGACGGGGGAGGGGAAGTGAAGGCGACAGGCGTGGAAAGCGAGGGCAACGGGCGGAGCGAAGGCGACGGGCTGGGGTCGCGAAGGCATCGGAAGGAGGTCTTGAAGGCGACGAGCTGGGGAAGCGATGGCGAAAGAGATTGAAATCGTGGGGCCTTGGGAAAGGAAAACGACGGCAAGGAGAGGTTCATGCTTTGGCGAAGGGTCACGCTACGATATTCCGTGCGAGTATACGCATCAGTTGCACTAAACCTGCATTTCGACACCAACGAACACTATCTTTGCGCGTCGTCATCGAAATCCGCGCCACACACATTCGTAAGGCGCCTCTGATTCCCCGCTATCTCTACAGGTACGCTCCCTGCCTAGTTATCTGCGTGCTATCTCAGACTGTGCACAGTTTGGGATCTACGCCCTTTTCAGGTTGTGGGAAGGACCCCACCTAGCACTCGTATTCTTGTACGCGAGAAACTTTTGTCGCAAATTGGTTTCGCGAGTGAAAGTGCTTCGCACCCCAACCGAACCTCTGTCTGGTTGCCTTCCGAACCTATTTTTTTCCGTTGACTTGCGTTGAGTAATTCAGGTCTTGGGCTTTAAGTGTACATTACGGGAACATTAACACCACTTATGCGGGTTCCAGGCTGTCGGTGTCGTCAGTGTTTCCTGCAACATCAAGGCTTTTTAATGCGCATGGCTACTATCAATGTCTCGAGCTTTCAAGGTTTACGCATCAAGCAACTGGCTCGGCAGTATCAACATTATCAACATTATCAACACTACCCTATTCTCGCGAGGCTTTCAAGGACACCAACTCCAGGAGTGCAGCATTTCCCGAGGCCTCTAGTCAGCTTGGCCGTCTGATGATTTCTAAGGACACGGGCCCCGCTCCAGGCCTGGACCTGCAGCGATTCTGTTTCAAGCATAAGAAGTACAAATGGATGGTTCCATCGTCAACTGTGCTCAGTCCGGCTCGATTCTCAGCCTTCAACGGGCTGACGAGCCCTTCTCATCATCGCACCATGGGGAAAGCCCGCAGCAACAAGACTAACAAGAAGGCTTCAGTCACTGACAAAACAGCCGTTATGTCACCCACCCCTGCGGTACCTGAGAAGGATCCTGCTGACAAGAGCTGTGCGCCTCCCGCCTCCTCGTCGTCAGCGCCTCTTGGCCCTTTTGAGGATTTATCGGATCTGCAGACCAAGACTGACCTCAATAGTGTACAAGGTGGCGAAGCTGCTGATGGTGTCACTGATCCCACCGGCAAGGAAGGTGGTGAAGAGGTCGCTGAAGGAGAGGCTGATGCTGTTACAGCCGAGCAGGAGGATGATGATGTCTCGTCGGACCAGGCTCCAGACGATGACGAGGACGGTTATCTGAGTGATGACTCTGATGAACACCTGGAGTCAGCTTCGCTCGGCAGCATTATTGCTTTGAAAAGATTTTCACTGACCTTACTGGTGCCGTTTAACAGGAAACCTGAAGTCAAGCGTACTGCTTTAACCGTGGCTGCCTTGCTGGAAGAGTGGAAAGAGCTGTTGACGCCAGATGCGCTGCAAACAACAACTTACCAGGAGCTTTCACCGACCTATTTTTCTGGTGCACGTTATGGTCGTCTTCAGGTCACTTTCAACCATGTCCGCGATGCAAATTACGTATGGAGCCAAGTCATCAGGCACGAATGCGCGAACGGCGCCATCGTTGACTTTACCTGGCAGCATCCCGAAGATGCTCGCTTCCTCCGCGAGCGCCTGCTGAATCCGACGGCAAAGGAGATCATTGTCAAAGGAGTTCCTGCGGACATTACTGCCGAGCTGATTCGTCACCTGCTCGTGGTGTCGAAGCTGGTCAAGCGTGGTCGCAGTGCCTTTGCTAATGGTTTCGGCTTCCATCGCACCATCGACCCGGTCACTGGGCTGGACACTGATCGTATCCGCGGCCTGTTTGTCCCTCACGTGGATGACGAGTATCGCTGGAGGTATTTTATGGAAGACCCATCGACTGGCAGACGCTACATGCTGCATTACCCGTCGCTCACATGTGAACTTTGCAACGGCCAGCACCTGTCCCGTTACCATGATCACTGTGTTACCGCGAGGCAGGAGAACTTCACCAACTGGAACCTGTCGGTTAGAAAGGTTCATGACATGAACGGTATAAGCGGAAACATCTCTCATTCTCCACTATCAATTTCTTTACCTTCGTTGTCCACTCCGCTTCTAGCATGCCTTCCGAATCATACTGACGACTGTTTCCTTACCTCCTCCCGCAGAGGCTTCCCTGAAAGCCACAGCGCCTTTGTCGCGTATCTTGAAGGACCCCGCAATCATCCTTACCTCTACAGGAGGTGTGCGGGAGGAGTGGGTCTGCGTACAGACCGTATGCGAGATAGCTCACGGGAACAGCTTCGAGCAGGCAGCGGCTCATGTCGCTTCTGCCAGGCACAAGGGAGGGCTGAAGCAGGAAGGTGCTGCAACACGGGTCAGCAAGCATTCTCAGAAGATGGCGGCTTTCAAAAAGGAGTTCATGGCCATGCCGGCAAAAAAGTGATCAGCGGCTTAGCGGATGAGACGACACTGTGGATCTTTGGCGCAAGTTGTGTAGTAGGAGCCATGTTTGCCTTCGCTGTAGCTGGATGCATCGTCGCAATAAAGATCAATCGCCCGTGGATGCTGTGGGGCTCAAAGGAGTGGCCCAATGAATAAACACAACAATCTTACCATTCTCGAGCTCAACATCAATGGGCTCGGTAGCAGCGGGAAACAGGATCGGTGTGTCAAATGGATCAGGAAGGCAGCAAGCATCGTGGTACTCACTGATACACGCGTTCAGGCTGATCACAATTTCTGGACGCAAGTTAAATCGGAGGCTCAGGCCGTGGTAGGCCCGTCGCAGAGAGCTGGCGGGGTGGCGGTCTTGGGTTTCCTGCCGGGGATACGTTTCACTGAAGTTAGTAAACACGCATCTGGTCGGCTAATAAGTCTGATGGTGACTTGGCGTGATTTGAAGTGCAGAATAGTGGCAATATACTTACCGGCGCAAGCAACAGCCAGGGGGGTCTTTTTTCGCGACGTGCTGTCTCCCTTTGTACAAGGCTTGGCCGCCTCTCCACACACGGTCCTCATAGGTGACTTGAACATTGTCGCGGACCCGGAGTTGGATAAATCCTCGAAGCTGGGGACTCCGGCGGAGAACCAGAAGCTTCTGCAGATATGCTCGAGATGGCTTCTGCAGGATGCGTTCCGGAGTCTCCACCCGACACGCAAGGAGTACACCTTCTTCTCTATATCTGCAAGGACAAGTACACGGATAGACAGGGTGTTAGTCTCCCTCTCCCTGCTCGGGTCCGTAACGGAGGCTAAGCACAGTATGGTCCCCTATGGCTTGACCGACCATTGGTTTGCGGCGAAGGTGGTGCTCAGAGCGGCGGCAGCGGATGATCACGGACCTGGTTTGTGGAGACATCAGTCACCCCGACCCGGGGGAGAAGGGGTCAGGAACATCGTCTCAGCGGTGGTGACGGCGCACAAGGAAGGCTCCGACCAAAGCCTGGAGAAGCTTGTGATGAACCTACGATGGGGTATGCGGGCTCACGTGACAGAGGAAAGAAAGCGGGTGAGGGCGACCTTGGTACATCTGGAGCGGAAAGTGGAAGAACTGCGATGGAGAGTGATGGCAGATGCCAAATCACAAGACTTATACGAGGAACTGGTCAAGGCTGAGGCTGCGCTCAAGCTCTATCAAGACAGTAACAAGGAGAGGCTGCAGGTCATGACTGGGATGCTGATGGAGCTGGCGAGCGAGACCCCCTCGGGTTTTCTGTCGGGGTTGGTCAAGTCGAGAAAGGCAAAGACGGAGATCCTGGAGTTAACTTACAAGGGGGTGCAGCGGAAAGGAGCGAAGGAAGTGTTACAGGCGGCCTCAGAGCATTTCAGAGAAGCGTACGCGGGGTCATCACCAAACCATACCGTGGTGCCGTGGCCAATCGATGAGAACAAGAAGCTGCAGGAGACTGACATACTTCGGCTCTGTGCGGAGTGGTCGGAGCAGGAGGTGAAAGTAGCTCTCAAAGGTCTGCCGGCGGGGAAAGCTCCAGGGCAGGATGGCCTACCGAAGGAGTTTTTTGAGCATCACCGGGAGCTGCTCGGCCCGGCTGTGATGCAGGAGGTGAAGCGCTTTGAGTCGACGGGGGTACTCTCGGAGGCTTTCACGACTGCGGTTACCATCCTGCTACACAAGAAAGGAGACAGATGTGACTTGGGTAACTACAGACCGATCACGCTACTGAGTTTCTTCTATAAGCTGCTGGCGAAAGTGATGGCGAACAGAGTCAAGCAGGTCTTACCAAGGGTGATCTCGGACAAGCAGTTCGGCTTTCTCCCGGGGAGAAGTCTGGCTGATGCGGTCTCGCTAGTAGCTGATGTAATCGATGCAGCGGAGGAGGAGGACGAGGATTGGTTGCTGCTGCTGGTCGACTTTCAAAAAGCTTATGATTCCGTGTCACGGGAATACCTGTTCACGACGCTGTACAACATGGGATTCCCAGAGAAGTACGTGGGTTGGGTGAGAGGGCTGCACGACAACGCGGCAACCAGGATGCTGCTGAACGGATGGGTTGGCGACCGAGTGGCGATGGACAAGGGCGTGCGCCAAGGCTGCCCGCTCGCCCCATACCTCTTCCTCTGCGCGGTGGAGCCGCTCTGCCAAGAAATAGGAAGGAGGAATCTGGGGGTTCGGAAAAGAGGGGTGAAGGGGGAGCTCGCATATATCGGGTACGCGGATGATACAACACTTGTTCTGCGAGGGAAGGAGCAGGTGGCTACAGCGGGAAAGCTGCTCGACGAATTTGCAGAAATTTCGGGGCTGAGGGTAAACAGCAGCAAAACGACATTGATGCCGTTGGGGAAGAACAAGAGAAGGCTGCAGCCGATAGAGTCGCCTTTCACATGGGCTGATAAGGGCAAGTCGGAGCGGCTGCTCGGAATCTGGATAACTTCAGGGGGGTCGCCGGGCCCTGCATGGGACAAAGCGTTTGAAAAGGTCAGCGCGGTTTTGAGCTGCTGGGAGTCAAAGCATCTCAAGACATCGGCGAGAGTCACAATCATCAACAGCTACGCGATGCCGATCCTGCTGTTCCAAGCGCAGATATACGCCCCGCCGTACGACATCTCGACCAAAGTAAAAAGACTGTGTCACAATTTCATCTCGGGTGGAAAGGCGCTCCTCGACAGACACTTCATACTCTGGAGTTATGACCTGTCGTGCAGAGGGAGGAAAGAAGGAGGTCTGGGAGTAATTGACCTGAAGCAGAGGATTGACAGCATCGTGATACAAAATTTGGGAAAAGTTTTGGCAGAGCAGGTGCCGCTGCGGAATTGGCTGTGGGAAAGGGCAGCCGGCTTCCCGCTCGGCCTGGCCACGATTTATGCCCACCCCTCAGTGTTGAAGCACTGGCTGGGAGGAGGCACGAGGTGGAAGGCAGCAGTGAAGGCGCTTTGGGAGTCAAAAATTGTGACCATGGGTGATCCTGCACACAGATGGGACGCGGAGGAGGAGCAGCTGCTTTTTAACCGCAAGATTTTCTTCAGGGGTGGCTCGCCTTTCGGAAACCAAGCAGGCTCACTCTGTCTGAAGGGGGTCCGTCTGGGAGACCTGGTGGACAAGGGCTCAGATGGTAGCAGGAGCCTTAAGAGTGAGGCGGTCCTGGAACGAGAACTGGGAGGGGTGGATCAGAGGAAGTGGGCTCTCAAGGCCTGGGAAGCATCCCCCCAGGGATGGAGGGACTTGCTGCTCAATCCGTTGACGGCGGAAGAGGTGTTCAGGGAAACAACGCTGCTCTGCTCACCGTCATATCGGCCGGGAAAATTCCTTTACTACCAGCTAGAACACGTGGCGGACGGCGTTTTGTACGGAAGGATGGTGGAGGTAGACAAAAAGGGCTTCATATCGGAGATGAAGTATGCTGACGTGACGACGGTGAACTTCCTACGAGCTACGCCCATGGCGGTCATTGATGGGAGAGTTCGCGGTCCTCTAGGCACACCAAGAACAAGGCTGCTACGCACTCCGATCTGTGAAAAGGGGGAGCGTGCGGAGCTGCGGCAGATAAGGAAGGCGATGAAACCCTCTTGGTCCCAACCCAAGCAGCAGCTGAGGTGGGAGGAGGATTGGGGGAAGAAGATCGACTGGGGGCAAGTCATCACGGTACGGGACTCCTTGGCAACCCCATGCAGAGCGAGAGAGGTGGTGCTGAGGCTGCACAGTAACAACCTGCAGGTGGGGGAGAGACTTCCCTTCCTGGGGGAGAGAGCGAAGTGTGTTCACTGTGGAGGGCTGGAGTCGCAGGACCACTGTTTATTCAGCTGCCCAGCGATACAACCAGTGGTTGCGGTGATGAAAGGAGCGGTACAGTGCATGAATCCGGGCAGGGAAATGAAGTCTCTCGGCGACATGCTGTTCCAGAGGAGTGGCACGGCGACGGGTTTTCCGGAAGCAGCAATCATTTCGATTACAGCACAGCAAGTGTGGCTGGAAAGATGCAACGCGGTGTTTCGGGGCAGTCGCTTTCAGGCGAAAAGAGCTCTGAGGCACATCGCGGTTGGTTTCGCAAGACACGTGAATGTATACAGCAGAGTGCGGAAACGGTAGGCTGTAAAGGGTGGCTCGAAGAGGACAGGGGAATGGAACCATCTAGATGCTAACGAGGCAAAGGCTCTGAGCAATCTGTACGAGACTGAAGCCTCGATGACGTGGAGGGCGGGCTTCAAAGCTGTATGGGAGGACGGCGGTGTCACTTTTCAACCACCATGAGATGGAAGGGGGGCCTGGTTACTTGTAGCCACTTGCATGCCCCCTAGCATCAGTTACGACTGCGAGTGTATGTATATGAGTTATATACTTATACTCACCAAAAAAATATATATATATATTGAACCGTTTCTAAACGAACGAAACCCGCCATGACAGTGCAGTACTGAATCCACACCACACCGAAGGCGGCCGGCTAGCCTCGCCGTGCGGAAAATCTCGGTCAGCCCTCTCAGCGCAGCCAGCCACACTTTCCGCCTTTTTTTAGAGTACTCGCTTCAAGTGAGAAACACGCTAACCGATTAGTGTGAATCTGAAGTATAAAGTAGAATACAGCTCACATGTTGCAAGCACTCTTTAAAGTATATATCACAAAAGTTAGCGTAATTGTAAGAATTTTTTCGGCATTCCTTACTGAGCCGCACAACATCACGTACAAGACCAGCCATTCTTTGCCGTTGCAGTTAACGGAGCTTTCGCCGTCTTCGCACGCTACATTTCCCAAACCACGCATAGCTGGTCTAGCCTGGCTCGGCTGACAATTCGAGGATAGCTCGTACCGTACTAGTTAGCTCGCACGCACCGCGTTACCGTTTACATGTTTTGCTTATAAGTATTCGCTCATGCCTTTGTTCATACTTTGTACTCGCACCTAGACCGAACGTCGCCCTTCGACATGGGAGACTGCATTGACCTTGCGACACTCACGCACAAGCGCCTGGATGAGCTGACGCGCCAACTACGCGAAAGCAACGAAGAAATCGCCGCGCTAATAGCAGAACGCGAGTCACTTCAATACGACATCAGCCAAGCACAAGCACGGACACAAATACAAGGAACACAAGCACGGGAAGCACCACCCGCTACCCGACCTGAGAGTGTGGGACAACACTCGAGCACTGCTAGTGATGGCGTCGCGCGCAACAATGTTCGCAATGACCACGAGACGACACACGCAGGCGTGAATGCGGCTGGGAGTCAACGACGAGTCAACATCTCGACGCAGATCGACGAGATGGCACTGCCTTCACCGATGCCACTCAAGCCGCACCGTCCGCCTTGCTTCGATCCGCGTCAACAGAGTGGTCCGACGGAGGCGTGAATTTTCACCATGAACGTCATCTTCGATGCAAATTACATCTCGTCAGACGTAGCCAATATGCGCTACGCCGTGTCGTTTCTGCGAGGACACGCCATGGATTGGTGGCGCATTATTGTCACTAAGCCGACCGACTACGAGGCTCTACTGCCACGGAAGGACCGACGGAACCCTGGGCACCATCGTATTTCGTGGAAGTAGCCCAATATCGCGTGTGGGACGCGTGGTGCGCAGGTGTAAGCGGGAGATTCGAGACAATAATGCCGTCAATCTCTATGCGTCAGAAGCTCCGCACTTGGCGCCATCTCGGTTCCGTTCAGGATTACACCAATGGATTCCTAGTGCTATGTGAGTAGGTGGGGTATATGCATGAGGTTGAGCGCATCGACCGCTACATTGGCGGCCTGAAGAGTGATATCGCGCAGTCGTACTTCGCAACGTCACGGAGTTGAATGAAATTCTGGCCATTGCCAAGAAGCTCGACTTTCTCCGCCGACCAAGATCGAGGTCTTACGGCAACAGCAGCAGCTGGGGACACCGAGTTCGTGGGACGAAAGAGCACGCCGCGATACAAGCCGTCGCCACAAATGTCGCTGCCGCACCGTTCAAAGGGCGCTACTTCGTGTGCAATCGGTCGGGGCACCGTAAGAGTGAATGCTCGGAAAAAAGCTAAGGGAAAGGAAGGAGCAGAGCAGCAGAAACAGACCAAGCAGCAGGGAAACGCTGGGAGTCAGCAGCAGATGGGCCCACTTCTGACATGTCACGCCACTCACCCAACCCAACCGACCCTCACCGAGTGACTGTGCCGATTCATGTTCGATCACACCCGGCTGAACAAGGAGGGTTCAACAGTAGATAGTCCCATACTGTTAAGTAGGAAAATCCATACCGACTTAGTTAAAATCTTCGTAAACAAGGGGGGGGGGGTAGCCACGGTTTAATAAATACCGAGACTGTATGGAGACTTAAACTGACACTGGACCGATGCTTACCTAAGATCGACGCACGGCTGGTCGACGGGACGCCACTTGCGATACAGGAACGCGTAGAGAGAGTTCAGATCTGTTGCGGGGGTAACATCACCTCCACCCAGGAAATGCTGGTGAGAACCCTCGATTGGACCGACATTTTACTCGGTCGTGATTGGCTGCGATGACACAACCCGCGCATAGATTGGACGACAGGCGATTATACTGTGTGAGTCAACGGCAACAATATCGTCTTACCTCGCTGGAGCTCGTCCGAGTCTTCATCGGTTAGCTAAGGGGCTTCTTGAGGGGGGGTGGGGGGGGGAGGGAGGGGTAGTGTAGGGAAATTTTCGGCATTCCTTTTTGAGCCGCACAACATCGCGTACAAGACCAACCATTCTTCGCCCGTTACAGTTGACGGGCTTTCGTCGCCTTCGCGCGCTACATTTGCCAAACCACGCATAGCTGGCCCGGCCCGAGTCGGCCTATGCTTTGAGGATAGCCCGAACCTTGCTGCCAGCACCGCACTTGTTATGAGTTGTAAAAGAGAGTGCGCAGAATAATGAATAATGAAGCTGTGACTCAATGAACTGACGATACAATGAAGGCACAGGATTATATGTGACTACCCTAGCTAGGAGGGGTCCTCGGGGAAGCGAGGTTGGGTGCAGGTTTGGCGATTGGAAAACCAAAGGCGACGCGGGGCAGCCTCGGCATTGGAAATGTAGACCGAACGTGCGAAATTCGAAATGTCGGGGTTGTACGCGTAGCAGTCAACTCCGGTAAGGAATAAGGAAAAATTCTTACACCACCACCTCCTTTAAGAAAGGTGGTCAACATCCGCAATTCGCTTGCAGGCGAGATAATCACCAACGAGCGAGGACGCTTCAAGCAAGCCTGATGGCACCTAAGTGTCGTCCTTGAGGAGATAAACTCTAAAACGGTGGGAGCTAGACAACAGGGTTGGCACGAGTTGTAGGAGTGATCGTAGCTCTGTCTGTGTTCTCTAGGACTTGTGTTTTCACAGGGCAAAACAACAAGAGTTTCACTAAGGAAAGTTGAGAATAACAGAGTTCAGAATGAACATGCAATGGCAAAGATTGACTACATCACATGCAAGGTTTGCTAGCACTCAGGCAGGTCGATCGCCAGCACGACAAAGTCGTCGACCTGCCAACGAAGCAAGTCTGCGGTCCGCCAACGCAGCTCGTACGCAACTTGCCAACGTTGCAGATGGCAGCTTGCCAACGCTGCTCCCGCGCGGCTTGCCAACGCAGCATCCGCGCGGCTTGCCAACATTGCATCCTGCGGAGAGTCACTCTACAACGGTAGTGAGCTAGACTACGGGGGTTGGCACGAACTACTAGGAGTGATTGTAGCTTTGCTTGGTTCCTTAGTGCTTGCACATTCGCGGGAGAATTTGGCAAGAGTTTCCACTAGCAAAGATTGAGAATACAGAATCATTGAACAAGCAATGACAAAATGACTACATCAGGCACCTAGCAACTCTGCAGCTAGCCTGGTCGACCGCCAGCACTGCATGGTCGACCGCCTGCCAGCGTTGCGTAGAGGAGCCGCGCCAGCACTGCAGAAGAGCGACCTGCCAACATTGCAGGTCGACGACGTGCCAACGCTGCAGTAGTGCGGCTGTCCAGCGTTGCTCCGTAGAAGACAGCAGTGCGCACGCTCACAGGTGCGCGCAGACGATTGGCCCGACTTGCTTCGTTGTGCATCCGTCGGCTATTGTCTGCGACTGACGAGCCACATCGACTTCGGGATACCAGCCCGCAGTCGCCTTCGCCATCGCGGCCTCGACGACGTTCGCGTGCCTCCGCAGAACTCGTCGAGCAGGTTACTCGGTCGACCCTGTCGACTACAGGTGCTTCCGGTCAACCACCACTGCTTCTGGTCGACCACAACTCTCGTCGCGCTACCCCCTGGTCGACGGACCCCTTCCGTCGACCAGAACTGCTCCGTCGACCTCCCGGTCGAGCTGCAGGTCGACGGGATGCTCCGCAGACCTCCCCGTCGAACTGTAGGTCGACGGGATGCTCCGCAGACCTCCCGGACGGCCCACCCGTCGCCCAGGCCAGTCAGACGCGGCTGTCGAGCTCCCTGGTCGACAGCAACACCACAGCGGTCCCCTGCAGCTCGACGAAGCCGAACGGTCAGCTCTCCCACTGTGAACGGTCGGCTGCTTCTCCCGTACATCCGACCAAGTCGTCGGCGTTGCCCAAGCGAGGGCGGGGCCAACACTCCATTCCCGTTAACACTCCCCTGCCGCGCTCACGCTTGGGCCTCCAGCCCACACGGCAGTACTTCACGGAGAAAACTCGTTGTCGGCGTGCACCCCACACACAGCACGCCGTCACCGCACCAGCCGTGCAGAAGGGCACGGCACCTACTGCTGCACCTCATCGTCGCCGTCGCCGACGTCGGCCAGGCGAACTTGGCCGATGGCGACAGAGCACCGGTTGAAAGCCGGAAAATGCAGCGCCTTCGTCAGGAAATCGGCCGGCTGCTCGGTGGTCGGGATGTACTTCAGCGCGAACTTCCCGCGCCTCACCATGTGCTGCAGCCAGGCGTAGCGTCGCTCCATGTGCTTGAGGTTGCCCGTCAGCCCCATGCCTTCAGCGACAGTAATCGCCGACTTGTTGTCCACGCGAAGGACAGTCGGCTTCCCAGGGTCGAGCAGCTTGAACTCTGCAAGGAGGAAGCGAAGTCGACGCCCCTCCTTGCCGGCATCCGTGGCCGCGACGTACTCCGACTCGGTC